CGCCCATGGGATCCAGACTTTCGTGTCTGAAATCTTTCTGGACTAAATCCAGAAAGATAACACAGTCATTTCAACCCGATGACTGTCTGGTGATCAAGGTGAGGTACATTAACGGTAGCAACAGTTGATAACCCCTGCAGATGCTTACTGACTACCCACTGAGGGGTGGCCCGGGGAACAGTGAATTCCTGGCTGTGTCGCCCAAAACAGAAAGGCTGACCTGACCAGTGCCCTCCTCACTTTGAAATTTCATGATGTGAGAACTGGCAGGTTCTTAGAGACCATCAAGTCTACTCCATGCCATCTCACCAGAGGAGAACACTGAGACCCAGAGAGGGCTCCTACTCTCACAAGGTTACACAACTGTCTCTACCCCTGCCTCAAACGCCAAGCCTCCGGTGCTTTCCCCCGCGGTCATGCTGACATCTCCTGCCTTCTGAACCTGGGAAACGTGGTAGAGTGACTTTAAAAAAAAAAAAAAAAATGTCCATTTCCTTCTGTTACAAATATAACCACCAACATTTTCTGGCTCCTACTCTCTGCCAAGTGCTAGTAGAAGAGCTCTCTGTAGATTTACTCACTGTCTTCTCACAACCACCCAAGGGGACAGGTTACAATGATGATCCCCATTTTACCTGAAGTAGAGAGAGGTCACCCAGCCGGCAGAGGCGGGCTGTCTGAGACAGTCTGGCTCCGGAGTCCCCCCTCTTAACCACTTTGTTATGGATGATGAAAGATAATTTCTTTAAATTGCCGAAACCGGTTTGGCTCAGCGGTAGAGCGTCGGTCTGTGGACTGAAAGGTCCCAGGTTCGATTCTGGTCAAGGGCATGTATGTTGGTTGCGGGCACATCCCCGATGTGGGGGATGCAAGAGGCAGCTGGTCAATGTTTCTCTCTCATTGACGTTTCTAGCTCTCTATCTTTCTCCCTTCCTCTCTGTAAAAAATCAATAAAATATATTAAGAAAAAAAAAGATAATTTCTTTAAATCATAAAAGGATGGGAGGAAAGGAGCGAGCCGTAAGCACAAAGGGCTTGATCACTTGTGTCTGAAAATGAATTTCAGAGCTCAACCATAAATTCCATTAATATATGTAACAGACCTCTTGACCACCTATTTATTAAGTTGAGGGAAAATCTATGCATACCACAAGAAAGTATACAAAGCGTATTAACCTTTTAAGCATTTTTAAAAGGTGGAATGAGCCGAAACTGGTTTAGCTCAGTGGATAGAGCGTCGGACTACGGACTGAAAGGTCCCAGGTTCAATTCCGGACAAGAACATATACCTTGGTTGTGGGCACATCCCCGGTAGGGGGTGTGCACAAGGCAGCTGGTCGATGTTTCTAACTCTCTATCCCTCTCCCTTCCTTTGTGTAAAAAAAAAAATCAATAAAATATAAAATAAAATAAAATAAAAAAGGCAGAATGATCTCCCTGAGACAGGCAGAACATTATTTGAGCGCTGGATTTGGAAGGGTCTCTTCTGTACATGCCCTGGAAAGTGAAGGTGTCACCGGCCTCACCTGCGCTGGCTTTCACTCTCAGACACAAGATAACCTCTGTTGTTAAAAGAATATCATTCTCGCATTAACTTTCTACAGAAATCCAGCCTCAAACTGACAATGAAGGAAAAGATTAAACTAAAATAAAAGAAGACACCTCTGAAGACAAAATATATCTGATATAAGTGTTCAAAACCAAGATAATGAAGACAAAAACCCTCTATTCACTTACATTACTTTTCTACTTGCCCTGATATTTAAAATGATGTCAAATCTCATTATCTTGGTTATCCAGGAGAAGAAATCCAGGAGCAGTAATGGTAGAAATAAACAAATTACAATTGTGCCTAAGATCAAATTTCAAGGGGAAAGCTGTAGTCAATTAAGAAGATGTATTATCACATAAAAAAGTTACATGACATCTTACCAGCCAAATTATCTTCGTCACAAGTGTGCAAAAGTCCACTCAAAATACAACAGATCCCAAAAACTGAAACCAGAAAAATATTGCCTTAAACATGAAAGCCACAGTCCAGAGAATTAAAGCAAAAAAACAGCATAGGGAGCATAGTGGGCCTTCAAGTATTTGTTGAATGAACAGACATCAAGAAGACGGTGACAGAAAGAGGAGCGTGAAGGAAACTGTGAAAATGGCTAAGGCAGCATGACACTGCTTTGAGCTTTTGAGAACTTTTTAATACCAAGAACGTAACAAAAGGACTAAGGAATATAGATAGGTACTGGACAAAAATGACAGACTACTAGTAGTATATCCAATCAGGGCAAAATGTTGGGTGGCATAGAACCTGACTTGCATTTCTTAAGAAAAATATCACCAAGCCTAGCTTTGCCTAAGTAAGGGATCTGGACTCAAGCCCTACAGAGTGGAATCATATTTACAGCACAGCTCTAACATGGCAAAATTCCCTAGATTTGGTGCATTTCAAATACAGCACTGCTATAGTTGTTTTTTAACTTAGAACTCTCAATAGTAGTTGCCCAGCTTGACCCATCTCTTCAGAATAAATCTTATTTAAGGTTATGGGGGTGTGGGAGAGAATATCCTATAGCTTCTCAGCTCCACTAAGTACAAATTCAATTGGGCAAAACCTACATAAGCCAGATCGGCAGATCTGTAAATTAAAGCATGATAAAATTACAGTCAGGCGAAATATAATTTGGAATCTGTGCAGTACCACCCAAACCATGTCCCATGCATAAAGTATTTTCCAACATTTATGTAATAAATCTTTTCTGGGGAGTCAGTATTGGTTAGAACCCTGGCAGGACTTAAGGTTGGAGCTTAAGAACCAGCATAGTGGTTACCAGTTTTGCACAGAATGTTTAATGTACAAGTAATATTATATTCCACCATTTACTTTAATACCCGTTTAGAACGCATTTCCTTTTCTCACATGGCATAGACTAAAGGAGGTCATGTATCAGAGCTCACCTGAAATTCCTGCCTAGTTTAAGTCTCAGCCACAGCCAAAGTCTTCTGCAGTGTTCACATGACTTTTAAAAAGGTGTGAAACCCAAGCGAGGCCCCTGATGAAATTTCATAGAGCCTCTGTTACCAACTACAGCCATACCTCGTTTTATTATGCTTCACTTTATTGCATCTCACACATGTTGCATTTTTTCTTTTTTACAAATGAAAGCAAGACCTTCCACCAGCAAAAAAGAAAAGGGGGGTGGCGGATTGCAACTCTCTTTATTGCGCTATTCTCTTTATTGTGAAGATATGGAATCAAACCCAAAGTATGTAGGAGCTATGCCGGTACTGTTTCCTCTTTGTTTCTAAACTGCCTAAAGGACAGGACAGGTGCTTCAAAGGAAAGTCTACTGGCACACCTGTTGCATAACTTGTTCTTGGTCAGCCGGGTTTGATAAGGAAGAAAATACAGTCAAAAGCAGGACAAACACTGATTCTCTGTTCTCCATTCTCCCATTAGCCGGGACATTCTTCTGAGTCCCACACCCAGTAGCCAGCTGCACCTTGGTTTCCCTAACCACGACATAGGCGGTCTGATTCAGCTATCCCAAATTCTTATTTGACCAAAGTTAACGAGCACACGCACATAAAATGTCCGCATCGGAACATTACATTGACATACTGTGTTGTATAAATGCCAAAGCCTTTTGCAGTATTCATTGCTTTTCCTCCAAAGACTCCAAAGGGATTAGCTTGACCATTCATCAAGATCGGGCAAATACCGATGTGCGTTAAGAACCTGTATGAACACAAAAATCCAGGCCTGGTATATAAAAACCTTCTTGGGTAAAGTTACCACTCAGCGTGGATAATCCAGTGCAAAAGAGCAACCCACTGAACGAACGTAACAAGGGCAGGTCTTTTCTTTTTGCTTTTGTTGTGGAAACAGGGTTTTGCTTCCCCTGACAGCTTCGGGGGCCTAGGAACACTTGATGACAAAGTTTCAGAAAACTGGAGACGCCAAAAACGTGGGACCCCAAATGACCAGTTCTTTCTGAATGTCGTCGTACTTTTCCGTGTTTCGTACCCAGTGTGGCACTGGTCTGCCTGTTCACCTCCATAACTCTGGGTCTGCGGATATTTGTGGAAGCCCAGGCAGGGGTCAAGGAGGAAGAAGTGCGCAAACACAGATGCTGCAGCCTCAGCTTGACCCACCGGGTGCAAACCAAAGAGGGTAGGCAGGCTGTGCGCTCCCAGGGAGCAGATGCCTTCTCTCCTGGCAATCTAATTGGTGTCTGGGAAACCAGAGCTGGGTTTCCAAGGCGGCCGGAGCACCCAGCTCCCACACAGCCCTGGACAGGCCAGGATGCCTCCTGGGCCAAGCACAGGGCCCTCATGATGACCCCTGAGGAAGCTCCATGCAAAGTAAGGTTAGGGCCCCATCACCCACACCCCCGGTATGCAAGGAACAAACACATCTATAAAATAAGCATCAAGAAATCAATCCAACAGAATTCTGGCCGCCTCTCCTTTTAAGACGCAGTAGATGTTATACCACACACAAAAAAAATGTGATGGCCTCTGTCCGTGCTTGTGCTCGGTCTGCTTTCTGGGGACCCGCTCCCCGCCCCCCCCCCTCCCCAGGCACCCTTAACCCGGAGCCGAGGCACCGATGGGGAGAGAGCATCTGCCTCCTCCGCCGTAGGACTGCCACTTATTTCCCCAGCGTCCGGAGGGCACTGGCCGGGCACCCACCCACCTATCCATCCCGGTCCCCGGAGGCGGGATCCAGAGGGGCCGCCAGCGCCTGCGGGGTGCGCCCCGGCGGTGCCGCCCCGGGGACCTCGCGCTCCCGGCGGCGCAGCCTTTGCACTTGTTGCCGTTCCTCCCTCGCGCCGCCGAGTCGGCAGCAGCACCCCCTCTCCGCCTCCGCTGCCCCCGCCGTCCCCGGGACCCCGGAGGAGAAAGTAGCTCGGCGCCGGGGACGCAGGTGCGGCGGCGCGCGTCCTGTGCCCGGGGCTGCAGGGAGGCAAGGGTGGTGGCGCCCAGAGATCGCTTACCTGGAGCCGCGGCCCCGCAGCCGCCGCAGCCAAGCGAAGTGCTGCCCCGCGCCCTGCCCGCGGGCGCCGGAGCCGGGGAGGCGCTCCGCAGCTGCCAGCGCCCGGCGGCGCCCCGGCGGCCGGCACAGAGGGGCGGAGGGCGGAGGGCGGAGGGCGGAGCCGCGGCCGCGCTCCCAGGCCGGGGTGGCGGCGCCCGCGCTGGTGCCGTCCCCGCTGCCCGCTGCCCGCTGCCCGCGCCCCGCGCCCCGCTCCGCGCTCCCCGCGCCCCGCTCCCCGCTCGCCGGCTGCCACAGGATCCCGGCCTGCCCTCCGCCCGCCCGGCATCACATGGCCCGGCCCGCCCGCCGCCGCCGCGCCCGACACCGGCTCCAGGAGGAAACCTGAAACCCCGCCGGAGCCGCCTCCGCCCGCCCCTCCCGCCGCGGGGTGGCGGCCGGCCGGCCTCGCTCCCCTCCCCGGGCATCGAGCGCCCCGCTGGGCGGAGGCTGGCGCGGCGCTGCCCGGCCGGAGGGGGGCGAGGTTGCGCCCTGGTGGCGGCGCCCGCACGGCCCGGGCTCCCTGGGGCCTCGCCTTGGCGCTGCCCGAGGGAGGAGCTGGCCTGCCCGTCCCTGGAAGGACTGGTGCCAGGCCCCCGCCAGGCGAGGCTGCCCTCCGCCCGAAGCCACCGCACCTGTGGCACAGCGTGGCTCAGGGATTCCTCCAAAATCTCGAGGCTCGTGTTCCTCTGGGCCGGAGCTTGGCAAGCTGAGGTTCTCTCGGTGTTCATACACCCATGAAAAGTCTTCCTGATTCCAACATTCCCGTGCAAACTGCAGCCTGCTTTTACAACGGGAGAGGGACTCTCTCACCGTCCACCCCACGCGCTTTATCAGTGAAAACCATCACAGCCCCAAGCGGGAGAGCCCGCTCCATCCATCCACCAGACCTTCCTGAAGTGATAGCAGCATGAAAGGCAAAAATCCCAACTTGGCTTTTCTTGTCATTAGCATGGATCTCTGGTTTGTTTTTCCTGCAAAGCCTTGCTGCCCACGAGACCAGGGCGCGGGTATGGCCTGAGGAAGCTGGCCACTCCAGGCACTGGTCCAGAGGGGAGCATATGCCCCAATAGTCACCAACACCTCTCCCGGCCACCTCTGCGCCCCCTTCACCTTGAGACAAGAGTGAGGCAGAAGACAGGAGTGAGCAAGGATATACTGCCTAAGTCTGAAGTCCTTAGCTCTGCCCTAAGGCAAAGGTTGTGCATTCTACTTAATACAGAGACCCCAACCTGGCATGGCGCGCCTCACATTAAGCTGCAATCCCAGTTGATTCTGCTTCACTGAATCTGTGAACCCAAGGCCTCATGTATTGCCTTTTAAAGAAGAAAGAAGTTCCTTCCCATTGCCAGAACTTCAAGGTACTCAGGATAAAAATAAAAACAGTCATATCCTTGTCAAAAATATTCCCCCTCCAAGAAATCCAATTTTTTTTTTAATTTTCCAATCCTAAAACATCTACTGAAGATGAACTGACTCAACACACCAGACAAAAATGGTTTGCAAAATCGGGTGAGCAAAGCCATGGATGTGTTAGGGCCTTTGTTGTTATTCTCCTTTTTACGTCACTAGTATGGAATCACTGTGTATTTCCATTTCTTTCTTCTCCCCACCCCCATTCCCAACCTTTTTTTTTTTTTCTTCCCTGCATTAATTCTGTCAGATATGTAGATAGGAAAAAATGTGGGAGGAGGAACATCTATTCTAAGAAGTTGCCTCAAAACTCGGTCCTCACAAAAAAAAAGAAACAGGCAAAACCAGTCATTGTGAAACCCTCACCAGCTGAAGACATACAATCATGCTATCTGCAGTTTTCTTGCCTTCTCTCAAGCACTGAGCTTGATCAATATTTAAATAACTACTTGGCTTTCAACTTCTCTAGGTTCAAATATTGAGCAAAGTGTACTCTAGCAACCTTAAAAGACGCAGAGAAAGTCTGAGTCAGGAAGCTATCGGTTGTACAAATAACCTTTTGCATCTGATTGATTTTGCGCATATAAGTCACTCAGGACACTGAGATAGTGCTACACTTGGCTGGGGCAGTGTTGGTTTAGAATTCAAAGACTCCTTAGTCTCTCAGTCCCCAGACCTGGGGACATGCAGCCAACAAGAAACCAGGTTGTCAATTCAGTCGAGAAGCTAACTTCTTAGGAAGTCTCATGCCAGTGTTCCAGCCAAGCTCTGTCTTATTCAGCCTTCGCTCATCCTCCCAGACTTCAGAAAGGCCTTCTGCGTAAAACCCCTCTTCGTTGTCCTGGTTCCTGCCAGCCTCTGAACGTTGGCAGAGCTTACTGACCTTATCACACACTTTAGCACCTGATTATATTCATGTCATATGTTGAACTATTACAGGTTCCTATCCCCTCTCTTCAACGTCTCATTTCAAGGACAAAGACTCTTTTCTTATCCCAGTAATCTCCACAGTCCTAACACGGGGCTCGTCTGGAAAACTTAATATTTGTAGAGAGACCCTTGCTCTGGAGTATTTAACGTCTACTTTTGTTTTTTGTTGGTCTTGTTTTGCCAGCTACATATTTATAAAGAGATAATCCCCTGACACATTTGGGGGTAGGGGGGGTTGGGTGTTTTTTTAATGTACATATTTATTCATTTGTTTTAAAAACATAGCCAGTAAGTACTTACTATTAAAAAAAATCAGAAAATACAAATAAATAAAACAAAATAAAAGGCAGAATCCACCCAGATGGCCTTGCTGAAGTGAAATAGGTGCTATGATTAAACCAGATCTGATGGTGCACCGTGCTCTAAGTGGACCTACCTTTCGGTCTAATCAAGTGCAGTTGAAGGATTACTTTTTTATGGAATAATACACGTGGCTTAAAGATTTAAGAAAATAGAGTAAATCATAATGGTGTCCTGAGGCAATGACTACGTAGGACCTATTCAATATGAGAGAAAAGTACAGACAGCACCACTCACCTGGGGCAGCTGCCTGGCAGAGCAGACAGCCTGTGGGGTGCACTGTCAGACAGCCCGGAGTTGAGTCTACCTACTGTCTAGAAATTGGGTGCTATTGGGCCAGTGACATGACTTCTCTGAGCCTCAGTTTCCTCACTTGTGTGTTTTGTGTGTGTGTTTTTTAATGTATTGGGGTGACATTGGTCAACATGAACATAGAGGTTTCTGGTGGGGGTTACAAGTCCTATATATTGTACCGTGTGCCCACCACCTAAAGCCAGATCTTCTCCCATCACCTTTTATTAGGATCCCCTTCCTTCCCACCCCCTTCTGCCTGCAACCACCACACTGCTGTTTGTGTTCACGAGTTTCAGTTTTACATCCCACATAGGAGTGAAATCATATGGTTCTTAGTTTTTTCTGACTTATTTCACTTCGCATAATGTTCTCAAGGTCCACCCATGTACATTTGTTGTGTGTGTGTTTTTTTAAGTGAACTATCACATCAATTATGCAGGAAGGAAAATGTATATCACAATTTTTTAACTTTTTTAATAGATTATAAGCACTCCAAATTCTATTACCTACTTAATTCTTTCCTGCTCTTCATCCTATTTCCTTTGCCAATAATTCTGTGATTAAATACTTGTAAATCTCATATTTGGTATTAGGACCAAAAGGAGAAAACTATTCACATTAAGAAGTCTTGACATTTCTGAATATTTTTAATCAATTGATATTTATAGTGCACCAACCACACACAAAATATATTTTGTGATCTTTTAAGAAAAGACAAGGCAATCTCTAGCCAGTTTTAAGTGTGAGGTCTTCCCTAAAGGGACAGTATAGACTCTTAAACAGGGCTGGCTTCATAGCAGGTTCAGTGCCCAAGGACCATAATACTTTTAGGATCCAATGAAAATGTTCTAATTTCTCCCGGCCAGTGTTGCTCAGTAGTTGAGCATTGACCCATGAACCAGAAAGTCACATTTTTGAATTTCGATCATGGTATATGCCTGGGTTGTGGACTCGATGCCCAGTGGAGGGAATTCAGGAGACAACCAATCACTGCACTAGACCTTTTTGACTTGTGAAGAGTCAGTAAATTCTATTCTTTTTTTTCCTTTTTTTAAAAATATATTTTATTGATTTTTTACAGAGAGGAAGTGAGAGGGACAGAGAGTTAGAAACATCGATTAGAGAGAATCATCAATCAGCTGCCTCTTGCACACCCCCCACGAAGGATGTGCCCACAACCAAGGTACATGCCCTTGACCGGAATCGAACCCGGGACCTTTCAGTCCGCAGGCCGACGCTCTATCCATTGAGCCAAACCAGTTTCTGCAGTAAATTCTATTCTTAATAAACCCAAGGAACTGCAGAGGTTTTCCCTAAGATCTAGAACAGTCTTCATCTCAGAAAGTAAATGTTTATTTGCATCTCTGGTTTGGGTTTTTTCCTTGTCCTAATGTCTCCAGCTGTCCTCAAGTTGTAGTTGATGTCTTAAATTTTAAACCAACTCAAAAGTCCCATTTGAGACCTCTCCTGGGCATAACTGTACCAGGCAGGCCAGCTGGAGAATGCTCCACGTGATCTGTTTATAAATCTCCATCAGTCAGCAATGTTGTTTCCAAAAGCACCACTAGAGTGTACAGGTCTGGGGTATGGAGCATAACAACTCAATATCTAGCATTTCTCCAATCCCTCGGCACCTGCTGAACACTCGCATGAACATATTAAATCCCAGCCTGGAGCAAGTTTTTAGTTACATAATAAAAGCCCTTAAAGAGAACAGAGTTGATAATCAAAATACTAACACCATTTTAATTAGGGAGGTGCAATTACTAGTCACTGGTAATGCAGGTGGGAAGTAAAGTGTGCACCTGTCACGTGGGCTGTAATTATGTGTAAGGCTTCTGGTGACACACAGATGGTGAGAAGGAAGCGTCAGTGCTCTGCACCTGACATCATTTGGAAGCCTCAAAATGCACATATAGCTTTGGGCAGCTACTACTCATTCAGGAGACTCGTGATCCTGTTTTTCTATTTACAGAGGGCAGGCAGAGGAAAGAAAAAGATAGAAAAATCTCTAAATTAAATTGGTATGAATTAGTTCACATAAATAAAGAAAGAAATAAATAAATACACCT